CCTTGATCTTGCAATCCTTCTGCCTCAACCTCATAAATTGCTGGAATTACAGGTGTGCACCACTGCACCTAGCTAAAACTAAATTTTCAAAAGATTGTAAAATATAAATTGTAGATGCAACTGAATTAAAAAAAAAAAAGCTTGAGTGCATGAAAAGAGCTAAAAATGTTGAAGAAAATAAATCCCTTGAGATTCATTTCATGAATGCTGCTGCTGATCTCTTTTGCTTGAGTGTTGCCTGGTGGTACTCTTACCTCCAGGGAATAGGTTAGGCTGTGCAAGCTCAGGAGTTTCACAAATGTTGAGCCAGATTGGAAGGAAAATAGGTTTTATTCAAAGCCAGCTTTCAAGAAAGATAGAAGAAACTACTTTTTTTCATATGAATTGCCATCTTCAGAAAGCTTTGGGGGCAAAGAAAGCTTTTAAAAGAGGTGGCAAAATGGAGCAAAAGGCAGGAAATATACATGTGTAACATATATAGTTTAAGTTAGCTGGGACAGACAGGCCAGGGCTGGGGCTGTCACTTACAGCTTCCTTGAAGTTCCCTAAACCAGGAGGACGGCTCTTCAGCTTTTACTCTCAGTATGAGGAAGTTGTTCTCAATTTTAGAGGGGCTCTTAATTTCAGTCTGTTTGATCAATAGTTAATGCTTTACAAAAACAAAAGATAACAAGTGATGATGTAAAATTAATTCCTAAGGAAGTCTGAAAAAAAACGTATATTCTACATGTCAGAACAAACTTTCAAAACAAGTTCAGTTTATATATTATAAAAATAAGTCACCATAAAATTTTAAAAAATATATCGTTTAGCCTCAATTTAAATGCTGAAGGATGGATCTTTATAATTTTTCTTCTAAAGAAAGATTTTGATCTTTTCTACTGGAGTCATGTTTTCCAGAAGGACCAGAAAACCAAGTTTAATAATAATGATAAATGGATACTTCTGCCAGGAATTGTTATGGAACTTATATACATTTTTTTATACTCAAAATGATCTAGGGAGAGCACAGAAATGTTCAAGAGTATAGGGAGCACTGAGTTCATCAGGTTCATTACACTATGATAATGGAGAGGAAGACTTAGGTTCTGGAAAAGAGAAAAGAGTTGGAAAATTCTAAAGCAAGCATATTTAAGAAAAGATGCATTTAGGAAAAAATAATAAAGGTTATTTCAGTCAGTCAGTTATAACCAAGGAAAGTGATCTAAGATATTGCTCACTGTTTTCTGAAATATTTGCTTAATGGGATGGTGTGTACCCCAAATCCTGAAATATTGGGCCATGATTAAGCAAACATCCTGCTTTTATAACAAGTTATTACTTGGGAGCATAGAGATTATCATCTGCAATTCTGATTGCCTCATCAAGAGACCCACCATGCCTTTCCAGAGAAAAGTGACTCTAATACTGTTACTGGGAGACACAAATAATACATGTAGAAGCAACTCTAATGCTGTTACTAGGAGATGCCTTGGGAGGAAAGGGGTTGGGCCATAACACTCAATGCTCCAGAAATTCAGGGTCAAAATGATAGGAAAAGAGGTTTTAATGAAAGCCAACTTTGAAGGAAGATGGAAGGCACTTTATTGTTTCAAAAGTTCCATCTCCAAAATCCCTGAAGGTGAGCAGAACTTTTTAAGACAGGGAAATAAAACAAAATCCAGACATATACATGTAGATTTTGGGGGGGCCAGTCTGTATCAGGCCTGAGACAAGGGGAAATCTGCTTCTCTGGTATCTGTCAGGGTTGGGCAGGGTTCACAGCCCTTCACTTCCTTAAGGTATTTAACATGTTTTGATTCCCTGAAGACTTTCTTATCACATCAAAAGGAGATAGGACTTCTTGGGGCCTAAATCCGGTTTTCCTAATTTCAGGAGAGCCCCTAAATCCAGTCTGTTTCAATACCAATAACAGTGGGCCTTCAGTTATATAATACACACTCTATGCCAGGCACTGTTCCTCACAGCACCCAGAGCCCTGTGCCATATACACTATCATAATCCCATTTTGCAGGTAAGAAACCTGAGGCACAGACAGATGACAAAACTGACCAAAGGTCACACGTAAGTATTGAAGTCAGGATTCGAACACAGGTAGTCAGTTTCCATGTTTTTATTTTTTGGAATTTATGCTACCTTTTTCTAATACTTTATGACCAAGAATAAATAACTAAAGAATGAACCCAGGGGCTGGGAGTGTGGCTCAGTGGTAGAGTGCTCGCCTGGCACATGAGAGGCACTGGATTTGATCCTTAGCACCACATAAAAATAAAATACATAGATATATAAAATGAACCCAAAGTACTGTGAGACCCTATCTCAAGTAAATTTGGAAATAAGAAAACACTCAGAGCTAAAAGAATGGCTGAGATTGGTCCAAACCACTGGTCTGCCTTGCCATATTAGTGAGATCAAATTGACTTCCCAGGACAGTGAACCCTTCAACAACTAGAGGGATAACCTATCTAGAGAGGAAATCTGTTAGTCTCAAGCCAGCACTGATGAGCTACAGAAGTGTAAAAAGACAGCCTCAGACATCAGGCCAGCTGTGACAGACTGGCACTATCCAGCAGAGGGGCAGGTACTCTATTGGCTGATTCAAGTGTCCAGGGCCTACTGGTAGACAGATGAATCAGGTCTCCAGCCTTAGAATTCTTGGTATTATCTACCATCCTGAGGTTGGATCACAGTGAGAAAGCGCCTGGAGCAGTCTACATAAATATCCAGTCTGCTTGACAGTTATATTTCTAATGAATAATTAATAATGAATGAGTCTGGTGAATAGATTTGGGTGTATATCAGGGTGAATCACCTTCCTTGGATCTGATCAGATCTGCAGCACTGGGAAGATGAATGACTGTAATCTAGCCTGGCAAGACTAACTGCCAGATTCAGAACCAGTTTTACCAAGGTATATGCTATGCATCTCAAAGTAGCCAACCTATCTTTTCCCCCAGTGACAACCTGACTTCGCTATATATACCACTTAGAAAAATACAAGGAAGTCTGGGGATATGGCTCAGTGATACAGCACGGACTTAGCATGCATGATACCCTCCCTGGGTTTGAGCCTCGGTGCCAAGCATATAATTATGCAAGAAGAGTCTAAAAAATATGTATAGGACTTTTCATTCTAGAAAGATAAGCATCACATGATTAAATGTCTAAAGTGTATAATGCTTGAAAGACACAACCAGGATAAATATATAATTATTTCCTAATTTCTGAAATTTAAGAAAAACCTACCAAGTGGGTTTTAAAAATTAAAGAAGTTGTTTTTGGGAAAATAGATGCATATTAGAGGATATGAACTTCATTCTGGAGAGATGAAGATGCAGTCCCTTTGGTGTTTATCAAGTCCCTACCAAGCTCAGAGAACTGAAGTGGATACTTCAGAGAACATGTGACAAGCAAGATATAATGAAGTGCTTTTTTTTTACTCTCAATTCTCAAGCTCTTGGCAGTGTACTAGAAGGTTAAGACAAAGATCCAGAAATCTGCAGTGGAAAACTGAGAGTGGAACAAAGAAAACAGAGATCACATCTGCTTGAAATAGCCAGTGCAGGCATCACAGGATGTCTTCCAGCCCCATTGTAAAAAGCCTCTTGGGATTGCTGGGCATGGTGTTATTGGGATCATCACTTTGCAGCAGACATGCCCTCGCTTTCTGCCTTGGTCCAGACCTCCAGGCTTGAACTCAGCCTCCTGCTTGGGCAGTTCAACTTATGGTGTAGTTTCTTGTTGAGTAAACAATGCCCCATCTTCATAAAATCTCCACCTCACTCCTTAACCTGCCCCTCTAGCTACATTTAATCTCAGCAGACCATAGGGATGGGAGGTGGGGGGGACTCAACCAGCTCTGTAGACACAAAGCCATTTCCATTTCCAGGACCTTCTCTAATGTCTTCCAGGGATGTCTGAATGAGCACTGTACTAAAGTGGGGCATAATTCAGCTGAAGTTCAAGCTACAAAGCTAAATCACGAATAAGTAGTCTTTGGATGCATCACTTCCGGGTGGACTGGAAAGATTTAATATTGAAGAGTGGTAATTGGGCAAGTTTTGGAAGCAAAGTCTTTAAAATCTGGTGATTGCAGATATTTGTTGCAGGAAAAGTGGTGTAATAAGAATCAGAACAGATATTTGGGAAGGGGACCCTCCCCAGGTCCCACCCTGTTCTTGCACAAGGTCTGCATGGAAAAGGGATTAGATAATAAAACAAAATTAACCCTTTTTTAACTTTATTTTTGAAGTCTTTCAAGTCCCTGTAGTTCACTATCTTGGTCATACTGGGAATGGAAGTAATGAATTCAAGGCTTTTCCCCCCTACCCCCAATGGATATAGATTAACATCAATACCTGTAGGAATAAAACCTGTTTTACTAAGAAAGAAATAGTTAAGGTAATACTTTCTGACATCCCAGCTGTCTTCACTAGCTGTTATTTTTATGCAAATTATTGACTTCCTCCCAGTCTCAGTTTTCTCATCTGTAGAATGGGCATTATAATTCTGCTTAAGATTATGGTGAACATTATGTGAAAAGACGGCACCCTTTAGCACGCTGTCTGGCGAAGTATTAAGCTGCCAATACCAGTCTGTAATCACTCTCTTAAGTCAAAGTCACTGTCTTTTTTTTTTTTTTTTAACAAAACAAATGGCAGCCTGGAACCATACTTCCCTATGATCTGGATAAATATATTTAGATGTCCTTTGGCTGGAGTTTTCGGGAGGAGCCAAGGCTCTGTGGGTCAAGAGTTGGCGCAGGAGCCAACGGATTGTCTGCCAAGAATTCTTGCCAAAACTTTTCAAGTTCGCAGACCACACTCCAAGTCCTGCCCTTCTCCAGTGCCGTCACTGAGCTACAGCAGAGCTGGAGCAATACTCGCCAGTCTCCCTGCAGTGTCTCCCTTGGCGTCCACCCCTACACATGACACCCTCTGGAAGCAGATTCAGGGGGAATTCGCAGCGGGGTGCGGCGACGCACGGGGGGCTCTGCTCACCTGGTTGGCGCGCGGCAGCCAAAGGCAACAATAGCAGCAACAGCGGCAGCAACTGCAGCGGCGCCGGTGGCAGTGGCAGTGGCAGCGCCCGCAGCCCGAGGCTTTGGCGGGACATCGCTTTGCGGCCGCGACCTCCTCTCGGCTGGTCTAGGCACCGCTGGGGCGCGCGGTGGCAGCTGTTGCAAGAGCAGCTCTCGGGGTGGCAGGCGGGCCCTGCGTCTTAGAAGTTCGGGAGTTCTTAACTTTCCTCTCCCATTAGCCCTGCCTATTTGGGGCTTTTTAGGGGCGAGGAAAGCTTCACGTGGCTTTGAGAACAACCTTCGCCCTACTGGGCCCCAATCTGGGGAAGGCGGATCCCTTTCGTCTGACCCTCCAGCAACCTGTGGGCAGGGCTGGGAAAGTTCCTCAGCTGCACTTCTGGGGAACGTGCAGGCTGCGCCCTGCTTTTTCAGGACTAGTCGGGCAGTTTGGCGGCCCAGGGCTTGAAGGAATCAGTTCACAGTGACACTGGTCTCTGCTTCCCAGATGGCCACGCTACTAGCAGAGGATGAGGCATCCAGAGTCATGGTAGAGCTCATACTCTGCCCACACGCGGTTCTCCTGCTTTGCGGTTCCTCAGGGATCAGAAACCCCGTGCCTCAGGCGATTTAACCTAAATCTATTTGCTGCTGCTAGAAACTTTTGATCGTTTGTTTCTCTTCTTTGGTTGGAGCCACCACTGGAGTGTGATTCACGCAGGGTTGAAACTAGATACCCCCTGATCCCCTGTGGTGTCCCCATTTCTCTGCATGGCTAGTTGAAAGTGACATTGTGAAGTAGGCAAAATTATGTCTTGGGTGACATTGGCAAAGGGTGCCCTGGGTGACATTGTGAAGTAGGCAAAAGGCATCTTATTCATTCAATAGCATTGATTGAGCCCATCTTATGCTTCTGGTACCAGTGCTACAAAGACAGTTAAGAACAACTCCTCCCACAGACCTAGAAGGGACAAAGCCCTGTGAATAAACTGGTAGGTGAAAGTTGCCACTAATTCTGTAAAAGAGCTATGATTAAAGGGAAGTGGGGACAGCCAGATGTGGTGGGCAGGGCTGTGATCCCAGAAACTCTGGAGACTGAAGCAGGAGGATTACAAGTTCAAGACAAAGCATGGGCAATTTAGTGACACTCTGTATCAACATAAAATGGGGAAAAAATGAGGAAAAAAAAAGAAAAGAAAGAAAGAAATGAGGTGTATGTCAGTCGTGAGCTCTCCTGGGTTCAATCTCCCCACAAAAGCTTAGTCCTTGTCCCCATACCAATCCAATAACAAGGACATGGTTTTGAGAAAAAGGAAAAAGAAGGTTTATTGCTTTGCCAGCAAAGGAGAAACACAGGGGACTCCTCCATCAGCAGGAACAGGGGGCTCTTAAAAAGGTAATTGAAAGGCTACATTCCAGGTGTTCTCTGTTGGAGTTGTAATTCATTTGTTAATTTGGGAGTAGTCATTTCTGACATCTTTGGAACCATCCCCAAAGTCTGAATTACTTCGTTCCTATGGCAGGTGTGTACTCAAGGACAGATAAATCTGCCTAGGATGGGGAAGAAAGGTAATCCTATTTTCCCTGAGAGATTAAGGAGAGAAGAAGAGAAAGAAACATGTCCATTTTAAAAATAAATCAAAGTGGCAGAGCAGCAAGGGCTACATTCAAAGCATAAAGCGGACCCCTCTTACATTACCACCAAAAAGAGAGAGTGAGCAGTGGGGACAGTTAGGAGGTGACAAGCCACCACTCAACCTCCACTTTTGACTTGGCCTTTCTTCTAAGCTTCAGTGAGGTTTCAAGGGATCATGGGAAGAGACAACAGACAGCACTTTTTCTAGAAAAGGAACTACATTTGTAATTGTTAGAAAAACATAGAACAACTAAAAGAACATCAAATCCCTGTACAAATTGCAAGTTACAATTTTGCTATCATGTTGACATTCATGTAATGAAGGAAGGAATTGAGGACATCGTAGCAATTGCACACTTTCCTTCAAGTTAGCAAATAAACAAGAAGGAAAATTATGAACATTTTGGTTGTGTCACGTAGGGAAGAGAACTACATTGGGACATTCAAGGAAGTTGTGCCACCCCAAATATTTCAGCCATGGTGCCATGTGTCACCCACCTTCATCCTACTAACCCTTATTATCCAAGGAACAACGTATTTTGATGAAATAATATATATAAACATGTCTGATGTCAACTATGTAGCATTCATCCATCAATTATTTAGCGATTCAGTGTTTGTTGCCTACCATGATCCAGGCACAGAGATGCCGTCACAGACCTTGCTTCCAACAGGGGGAGCAATTACTTAGATAACAAATTAACTGGATCAAGAGTCTTTCAACTTCAAAGCCATTGCAGTTTGGGATCAGACAAGTCTTTGTTGTTGGGGGATTTCCCTGTGTACCCTTCACCCACTGGATGACAGTAGCACTCCCCACCATTTGTGACCCCTGAAAATGTCTCCAGACATTGTCAAATGTTCCCTTATGGTGCAAAAATGCCCTAGCTGAGAACCACTAAATTACGTGATGACAAATATTCACTTATAAGTTGCTGGTTTTATATATCTGGGAGAGAGAATGAGCAGCAAAAGTCACTCATTTTAAATCTAAAGTGAAGGGGACCAAAGAATGTGTCAGCTATGAAACGTTCTCATACTTCTATAATGAACTTCCTGGTTTGGGGCTACTCGTCATCCATTACTTTAGTTTTGGTACCAACTTTTCATAAATCTGGACTCTACTGGTTTAGAGGTTTTAGTGAGCAAAGATGGAGGTATGGTCCCACCATGGCACACAGTACAGTGTCCTATAATTGGAATTTGAAAACACGATCCTTTTATGAGTTCCTCTGGAAAAAAAATTGGGTAAGAAAAGGATTCTAGTGTTGGTTAGAGTAATCTAGTTTGGCTATCAATAAAGAAATAGCACTGCTGCATAGCTGGAGCTGAAGCAGTAGAGGGAATTCAGGGGAGTCCCTTGTGTCATCATATACTAGGAACAGTAATGGAAGTGCTGAAACCTCACCCAGGCAGCTCTGCTGGGGAGTCCGGCTCCTTATCGCAATGAGCAAAGAACCCCAAGCAGCTGAGATGCCCGCCCAAAGCAAGGGAAGGTGGAAAGAAAGCGGAAAAGAGAAGTCGCAAGTATCATCTATAGCCAAGTGACCATGTAGAAACTGGGACAGTGGACTTCATTGGCTTCTATATTTCTTGCCTTGCTGTAACATATATATGGTGAATTGAAAATTTTATAATTCCATTATGTACTATGCCAAACGTAAACCTGTTTCTTTCCCAAAAGACTATAGTTAACTTAGATTCAAACAGTGATCCATTGGTGGTTAAAAAAAAAGTCGTGCCAAATTTAAGGGTATTCTGTCTACTTGGGAAATCCTTACTATCCTTTACCTCTTCCATATCCTCCCCTTCCTCAGGGGGTTTATGTACTAACATGGTATTAAGTAAGGGACTCAGTGAATTATTCTTTTGACCTTTTGGTCTCCACTAAGATGTGGTTTGTCTCATCCAGCTGTCAGGAATTACAATGCACAGTTGTCTGCTGTTGATGTCTGCAGCACCACCATGACCTAAGGTTAAGATTCCCACATACTCTGTGTATTAATTAGGGTAACGCCATCCACGGTGATAAGTGAACTCTGTGTGTTCAATGAATTTATGCAATGCAGTGTGGGCATTCTTCTTGGTAAGTGGCTTTCTTCCATGTGGATATCTAGGAACTCAATGTCCTTTCATCTGTGGCTTCACCATACACTAAAGCAGAAGTTCCCAAACTGAGGGCCAAAAACTTTAATAGCAGTGATTTGATCAGTTTCCAACAGACAGCTGTGTTTCCCTGAGAAAGTTAAAAGTATCCCAAGGAGCCCTTTTGTTTCATTGTAATATGTTCTGCTATTATTGTTTTCTATGAATATTTGATGGATTCTTAGATACCCTCTGTGAATTCACTGTGGTTGCCAAATTGTATGTAGGAACCATGACCATTGGCCTTGTAATCTTTTCTTTCAGCCACAGAGAAGGCAAAGAGTGTGGAAAGAGCAAACACACCTGCTTCTTAATCAGTTCCACTCACCTTCCATTGGTAAGAACTGAACATATTGTCACACCTGGGATGTTACCTCTCAGTACAGAAGAGAACAAGAAACACATCTTGGGTAAACAGCTAGCTGTTTCTGGCACATTGGGCAACCTCTCCATCCTGACTTAGATCCTACTTGGGCTTTTGGTTCATCTTTATACCCTTCTGAACCCTGGTATAGTGGCAGTTAGGGGGCTTAAAGTTATTCTGACCTAGTGATCATCAATCAGTAAGTCTGCCTTAAGTGTCATCTCCCTAAACACCTCCCCTGGCCACTCTAAACCTCTGGTGCCATGGGGGACACAGGGCTCTTTTTCAAGACTTTCAAGTTCATGAGCTACAGTGGGGGAGGTTTAACTATCATCTTCTCTGCTCCCATAATTCTAGACCTACTTGGCATTTCTATTACTAAATATTTCCACGCCCTGCCCCACCCATCAATAGGTGACTCTTCTCCTAGAGGTGCTGGGCTTTCTCACCAATCCTCTGTGCACCTCTCACCAGTTTTTTAAACTTTTTTACTTCTGTGCATAAGAACAAATTCAACATTAGCATACCTTCTTATTCCGATTTATGGTTCTTCAATGTACTGTATACCATCTTATCTCAGTCTGTCTTTCCATTTTTCAAACCAAGCTTTTGAATATTTTAAAACATTTTTTTCTCTTAGATGTATGGACCTTACATTTTAGTGCCTGTTGAAGACTAGTGTCTCTATAACACAAGACCTCAAAAAGCTACAAATCAGCCAGGCATGGTGGCACACCCTTGCTATTCCAATGACTCAGGAGACTGGGCAGGAGGTCAGCAAGTTCAAGGCCAGCCTCAGCAACTCAGCAAGACCCTAAGCAACTTAGATCTTCAAAACAAAAAATAAATACTCTGGGTTCAATCCCTAGTATCTCTGTGCCCCCATCTGCAAAAAGCCACACATCTTAATCTTTTATTTTCCAATATTTTAGTATTCTTCTTTGAGTAATACCTTAGCCTCTTGGAAGGAATCTAATAATGGAAGTTTCTAAGTTAAACAAGAAATTTTCAGAAGAAAAATGCATTAGGTAATATTTTAGACTACTATCTAAGTAGTCTTATGTATATTTACTGCTGTAATTAATTTCTCCTTTTCTGGTCTTTTTTCCCCTTATTGTGTATATAGTTGCATTGGTAATTAAATAAACCATTTGGTGTATTGCTACAGAACCAAAGAAAGGATGAACACTCCTCA